GGGCGGCTGCGTCAGGGGCGGCTGCTCCAGGGGCGGCTGCTGCAGTGGCGGCTGCTCCAGGGGCGGCTGCTGCAGTGGCGGCCGCTCCAGGGCGCGGGTTAGGGCAGGGCGCCGCGGCGGGCAGGGGTGACGCCACGCGGGTCCCGCAGGGGCGTCGCGACGCACAGGAGCCGCGCCTCGCGGATCCCGCAGGGGCGTCGCGACGAGGCAGGGGCGACGCGGCGGGGCCGCGACTGGCGACGGGGCGGGGCCGCGACTGGCGACGGGGCGGGGCCGCGACTGGCGACAGGGCGGGGCCGCTACGGGCAGCGGGGCGGGGCCGCGAAGGGGCCGCGAAGGGAGCCGCGAGGGGGCCGCGAGGGGGGCCGTGAAGGGGCCGCGAGGGGGCCGCGAAGGGGCTGTGAAGGGGCCGCGAAGGGGCCGCGAGGGGGCCGTGAAGGTGCCATGAAGGGGCCGTGAAGGGGCCGCGAAGGGGCCGTGAGGGGGCCGCGAAGGGGCCGCGAAGGTGCCGCGAAGGGGCCGCGAAGGGAGGCCGCGAAGGGGCCACGAGGGGCCTGAAGGGGCCGCGAAGGGCCGTGAGAGGGGCCGTGAGAGGCCGTGAGAGGGGCCGCTACGGGGCCGTAGGGGATCGCGACGGGCCACCAAGGGCAAGGGACGCGACGGGAGGGTAGGCACACGGGGCGCGACTCGGGCAGGGGCGAAGCGCGCTCCGGGCAGGAAAAAAAATCGATATTCGGTGGGCCCTAGGAAACGTTCCCACTAGGGAACCTGCTCTATACCATGTGAAAGAAGGAGGGATGGATGAACTAGCAAGCAGGTGGGTACAAGTAGGAAAACCTAAAAGTGTTGTACCCCATATTGTCTACCCCACTACAGCCTACACAGACTATAGCATATGAGTTTGACAATAAACGTATTAAAAATTCACCACAATAGCTACATTCATCTGTCTGCCACTACACCAGCGTTCAGGTACAGCTGGAACCGCTGCTACCTATACACTTGTAACGAGAGAGGAAGGAAGAAATAACAAAAGCGAGCAACGACAATAACACACAAGCTATCTCATCTCCAGACATAAATGAACTGAATTAGGCAGTGTTTTTTTTCTCAAGTGGACCCAAAGTGACCTCAGGGTTGACTGCAAAGATGCTGAAGTCCAGCCCAGCAGCTCAGTTGCGGCTTTGTAGTCAACAAGTTCATTTGACAGTTCACAGCACACGCAATAGACGCTGAGACGCCTCAAAGGTTTTGAGATGTCTCCAAAATTAAAGAGCATTGGGGTCAACAAGCCCCCTCCGTGATTAACAGCACAACACACGCTACAGATAACTTTTGAGATGTCTCAAAAGTCGTCTCAGAAATCAATAAGCATTGTGGTCAACCAGCCCCCTCCGTGATTAACAGCACAGCACACGCTACAGACGACTTTTGAGACGTCTCATAAGTCGTCTCAGATATCAATCAGCATTGTGGTCAACAAGCCCCCCCCCCCCCCCCCCCCCCCCCGTGATTCACAACACAGCACACGCTACAGATGCTTGGTGCGTGTAGAATCTAGTCACTCACCCGTAGAAGTGCGGTGATATGGCTATGGGAACGAGGAGGAGAGAAGCAGTTACAAAAGGCAAGGCGTTACCCCCTCACTCGTAGCAGTGCGGTGCTGTAGCTATGGGACGGTTGCAAGCTCGTTCAATGAATCACCACACACGGTACAGAAGTGGAGGGGAGAGGAGCATGCAGCACTCTCACAGGCTCACATTAACAAGAGGCAAGGTATAGCCCACTTACCCGTAGCAGTGTGCTACTGTGGCTATGAGCCTGTCAACGAGTCCGTCTAGTGATTCACAACATACGCTACAGAAAAGGAGGGCAGAGGAGCATGCTGCATACACTCACGGGCTCACACTTACGAAGATGCAAGGTATAGCCCACTCATCGATTGCTGTGTGCTACTGTGGCTATGGGACCGTAAATGAGCCTGTCAAGTGATTTACAACACGCACTACAGAAAAGCAGGGGAGAGGAGCATGCTGCACACACTCACACTTACGAAGATGCAAGGTATAGCCCACTCATCGATTGCTGTGTGCTACTGTGGCTATGGGACCATAAATGAGCCTGTCAAGTGATTTACAACACGCGCTACAGAAAATCAGGGGAGAGGAGCATGCTGCACACACTCACAGACTCACATGCTCACAGGCTCACAGCTCATGTAATCACAGAATCATAGTTACAAATGCAATACAGTATCCACTCACCCATAGAAGTATGCTGTTGTGGCTATGGGGCGACCAACAATTTGGTTATTGAGAAGTCTCAAAACACTTCTTCAAACAGTTGGTTATTGAGAAGTCTCAAAGCCTTGTCTTTTTAGACTCTAGACTCATTAACACAATTGCCAACATACACTATTTTTCCCCCCTCCCCTCCCCACCCCTCCTTCCCTTCCCCCCACTCCTCCCGCCTGCCACACACGCTCCAGTCAATGCTGATAAAATTTCTGCACATCACATGTGCCGTTGCTGTTGATTTGAAAGCAGACACTAGTAACTAGTCACGGCACGCTACCCTCCCCCACCCCCACCCCCCACCCCCCACCCCCACCAGACAATGTTGATCAGGCAGAGACCTGAGTGGGTGAGGGGGCAGCAAGAGAAGGGAACGAGGGGGGAAGGGGTGGGTAGGGGAATAGAGGATGTGCTGGGTTGCATAAGGTGGGATGAGGCGGGGTGCGGTAACCGGTATGCTGGACATTTCCACAGAAGCACGGACATGGAATGACCGGGACCGGGACCAGGCCGATCTTGTTGTGTGTACTCCCAGCACGGCCATACCCCACTCACTCACCTATTGCTGCAGACTTGAGTACCCTTCTCTTCTCTTCTCGTCTCTCACATTTTATGCCTCTTCCGGCTTGGCTTGAGAGGAGGGGACAAACTGGCCGATTTTTTTTTTGTGCAATCCCAGCACGGCCATACCCCACTCACTCACCTATTGCTGCAGACTTGGCCCAGGAGGCAGGCAGCAGAAACAGCCCAACCGGGTTCTATGCACTCCCAGCACAGCTATACTCCCAGCACTCCTTCGTGGATACTTTAACGAATTGATAATATTTCCCATCTCATTTTGTAAGCTTCCGCCAGCATGGCTTGAGCAGGGGGCAAGAACGGGCCAGCTAGGTTATATACCACATTCACCCACTACAGCCTAGCAGCAGGCACGTAACCAGTGACCTGACTTTTGAGACGTCTCAAAACAATGGGCCAGCTAGGGTATACACCCCATTCACCCACTACAACCTAGCAGCAGGTACGTACCAAAGAGAATCCAGAGAGAATCCAAAGTGAATCCAGAGAGAATCCAAAGAGAATCCAGAGAGAATCCAGAGAGAATACAGAGAGAATCTAGAGAGAATCTAGAGAGAATCCAGAGAGAATCCAGAGAGAATCCAGAGAGAATCCAGAGAGTGTAGATGAACTCGATATAGAACTTGAGAGCATTTGCAGACATCATTGACACCACTGCACATCCGGTTTGCACTCGGTTGCACCCAACAGCATTGCATCCCATCTCATTCCACCACACTCACCCCTGAACTATAGCACGCACACACACACACACACACACACACACACACACACACACACACACACACACACACACACACACACACACACACACACACACACACACACACACACACACACACACACACACACACACACACACACACACACACACACACACACACACACACACACACACACACACACACACACACACACACACACACACACACACACACACACACACACACACACACACACACACACACACACACACACACACACACACACACACACACATACACACACACACACACACACGCACGCACGCACGCACGCACGCACGCACACACGCACACACGCACACACACACATGCACACACACACACGCGCACACACACACACACCCCCACACACACACACACACACACATACACACACACACATATACACACACACACACACACACACACACATATACACACACACACACACACATACACACACACACACACACACACACACACACACACACACACACACACACACACACACACACACACACACACACACACACACACACACACACACACACACACACACACACACACACACACACACACACACACACACCAATGCTGCCCACCGCACTCCATCCCAGGGGACCGCATTCCATGGCATTGAAGAGCACTGCATCTCATTCCACTGCACCTACACCAGGTTGTTTAGTGGCTGAAGTGGATCGATGCTGAGTTTATAGAGTCTAAAAGCTAGCACACACACACATAGCCTATAGTTCAATGGCCGAAGCGGATCCCCACAGACACACCCTACTGCACCCTACCGTAACCCAGTGCACCACATAGAACCGCACTGTAGCGAACTGCACTGCATTCCACTGCACCTACCCTAGGTTGTTGAGCAGCTAAGGTCAAATACCCCCCCTCCTCTCTGAAGCCACCACACACGCATTGAAAGGAGGGTATGTTGGGTTGGACGGGGTTGGGCAGGAGAAATACGGATGGGGGGCTGGGCGCCTTGATGCTGAGATTGAACACTCCCCCTCCCATCTGAAGCCACCACACACGTGTTGAGAGGAGGGTATGTTGGGTTGGACGGGGTTGGGCAGGAGAAAAACAGATGTCTAGTTTCGAGGCGCCTCAAAACGAGGGTATGCTGGGTTGGACAGGGTTGGGCAGGAGAAATACGGATGTGTGGACAGAGGAAATGCCATACAGCGGCTGGGCGCCTTGATGAGGAAGTACGGATGGGGGGCTGGGCACCTTGATGCTGAGATTGAACACTCGCCCTCCCCCCTTCGCTGTGATGTGCACAGACTCGCATTGGGGAATGGAGATATGAGGAAAAAGGGGGGGGGATTCGGGTGCGGGAGGAAGGTGGGAATATGCATGGGTGAAGCGCCTTGTGCTAAGATCGAACACTCCCCATCCCTCTCATGCGCAGAGACAGACACACATAGGGGCATGGGGAAAAGGGACATGGGTGGGGGGGAAAGTGACATGGGTTGGGGGGAAAGGGGCATGGGTGGGGGGAAAGGGACATGGGTGGGGGGGAAAGGGACATGGGTGGGGGGAAAGAGGCATGGGTGTGGGGTAAAGGGACATGGCTGTGAGGGAAAGGGGCATGGGTGTGAGGGAAATGGGCATGGGTGTGGGGTAAAGGGACATGGGTGCGGGGTAAAGGGGGGGTAATATGTGTTAAGTAAGATGAGGGAATATACACTCCTCCTCTCCTCTGACACCCACAGGGAAAAAGGGACATAGGGAAAGGGGGCATATGGAAAAGGGACAAGGGTGTGATGGTGTGTAAATGTATTGGAGAGGATGTGGGTGGGAATAGGGTGCAGTGCCTTGATGCTGAGGTCGAACACCCCTCCTCCCCTTTGATACCCACACAGGCATGCAGGGGGTACGGGGGAGAGAGACATCGGTGTGAGGGTGGGTATTTGTTGGGAGGGATGTGGGTGGGAATAGGGTGCGGTGCCTTGATGGTGGGGTCGAACACTCCTCCCCTTTGATACTCATACAGGCACGCCCTCTCGTCACCTCTCCTCACCTCTCCTCACCTCTCCCCACCTCTCCTCACCTGTCCTCACTCTCAAAGTTAGCGAACAACAGAATGGATGAACTAGCAAAGTGTTGGATACAAATAGGAAACCCTAGCATCTGTACCCTCTAGAATGCATCTCACTATAACTATTATATTTGACACGCCCCCATAGGCTAAGTGAGGGGCATCAAAACAAGCAGGGCAGACAAACGGTCACAAGACCAGTCAAGACAAGAAGCAAGGCAAGCTCAGGGTGGATCTCAAGGACACCACACAAATTCCGAGCACAAGCAAGCGGCCACAAGGCCAGTACAAGGGCTCACTATGATATATATAGGAAAACACAACAAGCAGAGCAAGTAACAAGTCTACAGCAACCGAGGGCCTACCTCAACAAGCCCCAACTGCACACAGAACCTGTGGTGGTCACCAAGCGCCAGGGCCTTGGTGAAGACGTATGCAGTGTTGGCCTCTGAGGCCACAAAGTCCAGGCGTGCCTGGCCGTGTCGCTGCAGCTCTCGCAGGAGGAAGTACCTCACGTCAATATGCTTCACTCTGCTCTCCAGTCGAGGCTCTCGATTGAGGAGGATCATAGCCTTGTTGTCAGCGTACAAGGTCGCTGCAAAGCGAGGCCGCTCACCAAGGTCGGCGAGCAAGAAGGTCAACCAGCGAAGCTCCTGTGTCGCCATGGCATCAGCGTAAATCTCTGCCTCTGCACTGGAAGTAGCCACAGACAACGACCGTGTAGACCTCTAAGACACAGCACCAGCACCCAGACTGAAGCAGTAACCCTGAGTCGAGCGCTGAGTCTCCACGTCGTCAGTGTAGGAAGAGTCGCAGTGACCAGTCAACGCCACTGGCTGAGTCCCTTCAAGCACAAGCCCCATGCCTGATGTAGTCGCCAGGTACTTCGCCACCCTCACAGCAGCTGTCCAGTGGACATGACGGTGTCTCTCAGTCGCAACAAAGCGAGAAAGTATGTTGAGGGGAAAGGCGAGGTCCGGCCGAGTACAAGTCATCAGGTATATGAGGCAGCCCACCAGCTCTACATAGGGACCACTGGACTCAAAAGGCTCGTCGGGAAAGGGGCCAGTGAGTCTGTGGTCAACAGCAAGAAGTGTGGTCAGTGTGATGGTGTGAGCGGCTCTGTCCGTGGTGATCTGCAGGCCAAGGTAGCGCTGCAGTTCACCTAGGTCAGAACACATGTGTCTCTTCTGTAGTTCCGACTTCACCTGAGCCAGAGCTGCCCTGTTTGCTGTGGCAAAGACGAAGTCGTCGACGTACACTAGTATAAAGAAAGGAGTGGAACCAGTGCGAACAAACAGCGACAGGTCGGCAGAGGAAGGACAAAACCCAAGGTCACGAAGCGTGGAGCGAAGAGTGTCGTGCCACTCACGGGGCGACTGGCGGAGACTGTAGACTGGCCGTCTCAGGCTCCACTGGGTCCCAGGTGGGAAGGTGTCAGTGAAGCCAGGAGGGCGGCGCAGCCAGATCTCCTCGTGTAGTCGGCCCTGGAAAAACGCAGTAGAGAAGTCAAGGGAGTGCAGCTCGTAGTCTCGTTGTGCTGCTACGTGCAGTAACACCTGAAGAGTAGTCATCTTCGGGGTCGGGGCGAAGGTCTGGAAGAAGTCAACTCCCTCACGCTGATCGAAACCCCTAGCCACGTAGCGCGCCTTGAACACAGGCGGTGAACTAGGCGGCCGCTTCACCTTGAAGAGCCACATGCCATCGACTACGTTCGCCCTCGGAGGGGGAACTGCGTCGACGTAGATGCCTGTGGATCTCCGAGACGCTAACTCCGAAGCCATAGCCGCTTTCCACTGTGAGGCCCACGCCCCTGACACTGCCTCGCGGTAAGTGCGAGGAGTCGGTATGTCAAGGGCGTCGGGGTCTCCCTCAGGGGATAGCAGCATGGCACAGACAGAGGGAGAAGCGGCTGCACAGTACTCTAGCTCAGACTCTCTGTCCTCTAGGACGTCACAGCCAAGGGAAAACCCACCCCCGATGGACAGAGGATGGGAGGGAGGAGCTTGCACCACACGGGTGGTGTAGTCAAGGCGACTGGCGGCAGCAAACTCAGCGACAGCTGCAGTGAGAGCCGAGACAGACTACGGAGGCGGGAACGGGAGACGAGTGACGAGCACGCGGAGGACAGGGACGGACACGAGAGTGCAAAACAACAGGTGGAGGAGACTGCGGTGGAGGAGAAGACCAGACCGCCGGACTGGCCCAGGAGGAGGAAACGTGGGACCAAACGCTGGAGGGGACGGAGTGTGAATAGGAGGAGAGGAGGGAAGACCAAGGGCCCGAAGACCACTCACGGGTGGGAACAATTGCCGCTCCAGAGGGAGCTGCTGTGGTCGCAAGTGCGGCGGCGGTGTCTGCTGCTGCTGCGGCTGCGGCTGTTGCTGCTGCTGCTGCTGCTGCTGCTCCAGCAGGTCCAACCGCCGCAACTCCTGCCGCTCCCTCTCCAACAGCACATGCTCCTCACGCTCACGCCGACGGGGCGCGTGGAGACGCGTGTCGTGGCGGAGGGGAGGTGGAGTGGACTCCGCAGAACCAGTGTCTCCAGCTCCAGGCTCCTCAGAACCAGCACCTCCAGTGCCAGCGCCTCCAGCACTAGCACCCCCAGCTCCAGCACCCCCAGTGCCAGCGCCTCCAGCACCGGCACCCCCAGAACTAGCACCTCCAGTGCCAGCACCTCCAACTCCAGCACCCCCAGAAATAGCACCTCCTGCGCCAGCACCTCCAGCTTCAGCACCCCTCAAACGAGCACCCCCAGACCGAGCACCGCCAGCAGCAGCACCACCAGCTCCAACACCAACCGAGTCCACAGGAACCTATCGCGGAAGTGCCGAAGGCTGCTGAGGGGACTGTGAGGAGGACTGCGGGGAGGGAGACGCTACCTGATGCGCGACTGAGGGTAGAGGGGTAGCGTGGGACACACCAGACGGGGCAGGACCAGGGGGGGGCGGGGGTAATGGAGGAGCGGGAGCAGGAGGAGGAGAGGGTGCGAGGAAGAGGGGGGGAGGGGGTACCGGGAAACCTCGATAGAGGTACCGGGTGTAGTAAGACACGGACTCGTCAAACCGGACGTCACGGGAGTCTAGGAACTGGTGGAGGGGAGGGTGGTAAAAGGACCAGTCGGCAGAGTCCACTAGGAAACCAAGGAAGACACAGGGGACGGCGCGTGCCGAGACCTTGTCCGCGGAGGTGTCGCGAACAACCGCAAGGCAGCCCCAGACACGAAAGACCGACCCAACACCAGGGGACCCGGTCCAAAGACTGGTCGGTGAAGCCTCGGGTCGTGAGACGCGCGGCTGGAGGTTCAGCTGGTGTGCGGCGTAGCGAACCGCATAGGGCCACAGAAAATGGGGCGCACGGGCATGGATCATGGACGTGCGAGCAATGTCCATGACCAAGCCAATGCGGCGCTCAGCAACCCCATTCTGCTGTGGGGACTCTGGAAGCGTCCAGGACTATACGATGCCCTGTTCGCCGCAGAATCCGGCAAGAACGCCGGAGCGAAACTCGCCCCCACGGTCGGAGTGTAGACAACTGACACGACGACCACGAGTGCCCTCAGTGGCCAGAAGCCACCGGATCAGCGTAGCAGTCACTGTGAAGAAATGAGGAATGAATGCACTGGCAAACAGGTGGGTACAAGTAGGAAAACCTAAAAGTGTTGTACCCCATATTGTATACCCCACTACAGCCTACACAGACTATAGCATATGAGTCTGACACACCCCCATAGGCAAAGTGGGGGAGAACAAGAGGTCACAAGACCTGTCAAGCAAAGCAAAGCAAGCTCAGGGTGGATCACAACGTCACCACACATTCCGAGCACAAGTTCAAGGCCACAAGGCCAGTTCACATGCAAGATCATATATAAAGGTAAACAAGCAAGTGCAGGTATAGAAAGATCACAGTACAAGCAAGGTCAAGAAGTGAGCAAGTGAGGCCAAGTAGGCACAAGACCTAGCATCGTACAGCAGCGCTGATGATCACAAGGCGGAAGTGCCTTGGTAAAGATATCAGCAGTGTTGGCCTCAGAGGCCACGTAAGCAAGGCGCAGCTGACCACGCTGCTGCAGCTCACGAGCAAGGAAGTAGCGAAGAGCAATGTGCTTCGTTCTGTGCTCCAGTCTGTGCTCCCGACACAAGGCCAGCATGGCCTTGTTGTCTATGTACAGAACTGGAGGAGAACGAGGCGGCTCTCCTAGGTCAGTCAGCAGGTAGGTGAGCCAGCGTAGCTCCTGAGCAGCCATGGCCCCCGCGTAGATCTCAGCCTCACAGCTGGAGCCGAGAACAGAAGACGAGCGAGTAGACCGCCACGAAACAGAGCCGGAACCAAGGCTGAAGGTGTAACCCTGTGACGACCGCTGCGTAGCCTGGTCGTCAGCCCAAGAAGCGTCTGCGTGACCTGTGAGGACCACTGAACGCCGCCCTCCAAGCACTAGCCCCATGCCCAACGTACTGCACAAGTAGCGCAACACCCTCTTTGCTGCAGCCATGTGCTCTGGTCGGTGTCTCCCAGGAGCAACATAGCGTGCCAAGATGCTAAGAGGGTATGCAAGGTCAGGTCGTGTGCAGGTCATCAGGTACATGAGGCAGCCAACAAGCTCTGGGTACGGGCCACTCGGCTCTACGGACTCATCCGAAGGCAGAGCTGAGAGCGAGTGGCGAGTAGACAGAGGAGTGGCCTGAGGCGAGGAGTACGTGAAGTCGAAGCGCTGAAGGACCTGCTGCACCATGTGTGACTGAGTCAGGGTAATGGTGCGCTGTGCTCTGTCCCGGGTGATCTGCAAGCCAAGGTAGCTGCGCAGTCCACCCAGGTCAGTGCACGTGTGTCTCTTCTGCAGCTCGGACTTCACGTGGGCGAGTCCAGCAGTGTCAGCAGTGGCAAAGACCAAGTCGTCGACGTACACACGGATGTAGAACGGCGGCAAAGAGGTGTCGGTGCGCAGAAACAGCGACGGGTCGGCAGTAGAAGGAGCAAACCCAAGAGCCGCAAGTGTAGTCCTCAGTGTGTCGTGCCACTCACGGGGCGCCTGGCGGAGACCGTAGACTGGCCGCCGGAGGCTCCACTGGGTACCAGGGGGAAACGACCCAGTGAAGCCAGGTGGGCGGCGCAGCCAGATCTCCTCGTGCAGGCTGCCCTGCAGGAAAGCTGTGCTGAAGTCAAGAGAGTGAAGCTCGTAGTCGCGCTGAGCGGCTATGTGCAGCAGCACCCGAAGAGTGGTCATCTTCGGGGTGGGAGAGAAGGTCTGAAAGTAGTCAACTCCCTGCCGCTGACTGAAGCCTTGAGCCACGTAACGCGCCTTGAAGACAAGCAGAGAACCCGGCGGCCGCTTCACCCTGAAAATCCACATGCCACTGACGATGTTCGCCCCAGGTGGGGGAACCTCGTCGACGTAGGTGCCTGTGGACTTCCAGGAAGCCATCTCTGCGTCCATGGCTGCCTGCCACTGAGAGGAGTAGGGACCCTCTATCGCCTCCGCGTACGATCGAGGAGTCGGGATGTCTGGTGCATCCGGGTCTCCCTCAGGGGCAATCAGCGTGGACACGAGATGAGGCAAAGCAGGAGCAAA